GAAATACTCAGACCAGCCCTTCTGGCACCAAGAATCATGCCACGTTCAAAGTCACTCAAATCACCTTTCTTCCCCAGCATGATGCTCGGTTTGAACTGCAGGAGATTGTCTTGACCATGTCTACATGCCTAAATGCACTGAGTTGCCGCCATGTGATTGGCTGCTTAGAAATTAAGTGTTAACGAGCAGTTGGACAGGTGTACCTAATAAAGTGGCCGGTGAGTGTATATTGCCATGTAGTTGTTACCTGGTGGGGACAGCGTATGATCAGTTCCCCCAGGTATATACGTAGTGGGATCTTACAGGAACTTACAAAAAAGTTATTTTTGGGATGGGTGTTAGGTTTAGGAGTAAGAGTGGAATTGAGTTTGGAAATGTATACGTTGGTAATAGTTAAGGTCAGGGTTAGGCCATGGAAATGAATGAAAATCAATTGAGAGGCCTCATAAGGATAGTGGGACATACGATGTGTGTGTGTGTGTGTACAAGGAAAGATAAACTAACTGTTCACAGCTTTATTGTTCTGCTAGAAATGGTGACATTGTTCATAACTCACCTCCAGTCTGGTTGAAGCGCTGCTTAACAATGTCAATGTTGGCTTTGTAGGTTTGCTCAGTACCAATTAATCTCTCAGTACCTCTCTTCCAGTACTCAGGACCTTCATTCTCTGCCATCCAGTCCTGCTTTGGGATCTTCTCTCTAATCACACTATCATAGTAGGAGACTGGCTGATCATCCACCAACCCAACATCCACAAACTCTGGAAAGTTCTTCAGTCCAGATGATGCCGTGTAGAAATATTTCAGTGAATGAGTAACTGTGGGAAAAAATGAATGTTATTCCCAAATTAATTAACACAAATAACATGTACAAGATTACGTATCTAACTCTGTAATCATATTCCTAAGATTTTAGGCAATGGATAAAAAAAAAACCTGATGTCATTTAGACAGTAAAACAGAGACCAAAGAAATCCACTAATCTCATTGAGTTCAGTAATGTTCAGCTTATCTTTTTAAATAATTATTTAGATCAGCAATATATCATGATAATTTAAGTGAACTTAAATTTGATTTAAATAAACAAAGATGAATTAGCCTGATCAGCAAAAGAGTTAAAAATCTATATTTTACAGACAAAGCGATTTACAATTATCCAATTGAAATTTCCTATTCCTATTCAGACATTAACTGCCTGTTGTTAACCAACCTAAAATGTTTATGTCTATGTTAAAACTACAGTGTGTAATTTTTAGCGACATCTAACGTCCAGACTGCAGACCGCAGCAA